AATTGTACGCTGGATCAACGCACTGCGTCGTGACGGTGCTCCCGTCTCGCGGTTGATGCTTCGTACGCATGCAAAGGACGTGGCTATCGAAGAAGGCATTGATACGACAAAATTTAACGCTACAGACACTTGGATTAAGCTATTTCTAGGACGTCATAAGCTAGCTCTGCGAAAACGAACATGACAAGGCCAAACGACTCTAGCTGATGCTAAGGAAGCTGTGGCGGCTTTTAAAAGCGGAAGTGTTGAAGACAATGGTAGAGAAGGACTGTGGAAAACTCTACAACGCAAGTGGAAGCTCGTACCGCCATAGAGAAAATGCGATCAAAGCTCGACGAACAACCCTTTAAACTTGAAGCACCGGGACGAACCAGTATAACTGCGTGGATAACAGAGTGCTGGAACGAGCTTACGGCCACTACCATCTCTTGTGGGTTTCGCAAGGTGATATTATTGATGGATACACGTGTCATCGAAGGCGACGATTCTCCTTCCTGCGATACAGAGTCTACTGTGAAAAAGCTGCTTATAACTTAACCTCGTGGAGGCAACAATAGATTCGGACGACGACATTGAGACCGGTGATGATAGCTATGCTAGCGGTGATGATAGCTATGATAGCGAGTAGATATACGACTAACCAATGCAAAGCTTTTAACTTTAAGCTTATTTTAACAAATAAAACGACATCAAATCCTAAGTAAAATAAGATAATAACCAGCTGGCATCATCAAATAATCAAATATGGGGTGACCCTTAGATTATGCGGTAATCCTTATCATGCATAATTAATCACTGATACAGTGGTTACTTCAAAAACTATAGATAATACAGAAATACTTTAAAAAAAAAAAGAAGTAAGAAGATTGCGTATTTATATATCCGAATCAATTTTAGGATATTATCTTTACTTCGTCAAATAACCGAAGCAATATAAGCTTACAGGCAAACTGTACTGTAGCTACTTCACGCGCTTTGATTCCATACGGCTGGCAAGCGTACTCGTCTATTACGCCAGCGCTGCAATCTTTCCCCCCAACGGCGAACCACATTTGCCGCAGAACTTGAATCCAGCCGGGACACTCGTGGAACAGCTTGGGCACTCCTGTGTGGCTTGGTGTGCGTCCTTCTCCCGTTCTGCAAACCTCTGCAGCTCATCGATCGCAACTGAGAGGCCAATCCGATTTTCCCAATCGGGATCTGTCAACCGCTGTATCAGTTTCCATTCATCGTCTTTTAAACCTTCCGGCCGAGGATATACCTTCCCGGAAAACAGTTTTTCCAGAATAGTATCGTCGTCGTCCAGAGCATACGGAGGTTCGTCCGAAAAGGCCTCAATGATGCACATTCCAAAGGAATAAACGTCCGATGCGAAGCGTGGGTTATGAGCCGCATCAACGTCACTCTCACCCATGGGCATCAAGCACTCTGGCGCCTTCCAACGCACCGTATCAGTCTGAGCCTTTACACTCAATCCCACAGATTGACTACGGATGTAACTGAAGCCAAAGTCGCAGATCTTGGCCTTATCGTCAGCACCAATGACGATGTTATTGCACTTGAGATCTCCATGTACTACCTTCTCCGAGTGAAGGTAGTCGAGACCTAGTGCAGCTTCGTAGAACAGTCGCCAGATCTCGCTCTTATCTTCCATAAAGAAGTCAGCGAAGTTCCCATGGATTGCATCTTCACACACGAAGAACGCGGGTGTACTGACATGGCAAGCACCGAAGAGCTTTACGATATGTGGATTACTGAGCTTGTTCCACACTTCCACTTCCTTAAAGAATGACTTCATCGCCTGGTCGTCGTCCATAAGCAGACATTTGATGACCACTTTGGCTCCTTTGCCCCATACGCCTCTGTGGACGGAGCCATAGGAGCCACAATCAAACTGATCTTTCGCGTCGAACTCGACGTCGTCACTACTGATGAACCACTCGGGTACAACGGGAACTTTGGCTTTGGACGTGCTCACCACCTTCTTAAAGGCTTGGTGCATGAGTTTCAACTGCTCGGGGTCGTTCTGCTCCCTCTTGTGTTCCAATTCGTATTTAATCATAGCCAGACCTTCTCTAAGTGTCGCCCCATGGTTCTGAACTTCAGTCTGGATACTCTGAGTGCTGGCTAACAGTTCGTCCATTTGTTGGTGGATGCGCTTGCGGTCTTGTTCCCACTCCTGCTTCCACTTGGCCATCTCGACCATATGCGATATGTTGAGCAACTTAAACAGCTCGTCCATGTCACTATGGAAATCTTGTATGGCTTCCACGACCTTGCGGTTGCTAGCCAGGCGTTTGATGAGACTCTTTTGCGACTGGCGCTGGAGGAACTTGAGGAATTCCGCGATGGTGCGACCGTACATGAACAGCACTCGGTTCTGACGTAGTACCGTATCGTCCGTGATTTTGTACAGCTCCTCGTTCACGAACTGCATGCGCTCGTACACTCGCCGACAGATCTCTTCGTTCTCCTTCATCTCTCGGATAAAGTCGAACACGTTGCCCAAAGCCTCGGAAATGGCTTCACCTAGCTCGGGGATCACGAACTCAGCCACTAATGAACACGCTGCAGCCATGTTCTAGCTTTGTAGACGACGGTACTCTGTGACGGTACTTCTTGACTTGTGCGGCGAGGGCGAAATGAGGAATGATACTGCTGGAAGGTCGCCATTGTGGACCGCTGATTTTTACATTCTACCTACAGATCCAGACAGATCGATGGCTACATTTTGCAGAACTGTATCTGTCATTCACTGTACTGCTCTTGTCATTATCTTTCGACTACGACTGTACTGCTGGTCTAGAAGATGCGGTACGATGTCGGAGCACGACGACGCTCCCATTGAGTCTCGTACTTAGTCCAGTGCTGCCACTGCAGTGCGTCAAGAGTGCTGTTGATCTCGGCTGCAAGCTTCTCGTCTGAGATGATCTTGGTTTTGTCTGCTTGTTCCATGTCCTGCACCTTGCGAAGCCGCTGCAACGCAAGACCAAACGCGTCGAAGTGTCGGTCATGCAGCAGCGAGACGTGCAGGTACGTGGCCGCTTCGACGTCTTCCCACTTCTGGAGGTCAGCGTAGGCCAATAGAAAGTCGTCCCATTGGCTTGAGTCGCCCAAAGCGCGAGCCTTACGAGCAAGAGCGTCAACGAGAATGGCCTTCTCCTTCTCCTTACGAAGCTTCTTCTCCGTTGCAGGCTGGTCGCCAGGGACACTGCGAGTACCGAAGAACAATGCCAACTCGTCCTGCTTAATGAGGGCGAGCACAGCATCCGCTGCCTCGATAACCGCAGCTAACTGAGTAGATCTGTTAGCCTCGAAGTCGAAGTGGTGGAGCTTGGCCTGCATTGCCGGCAGGTAGTTCGGGAACTGGTCCACAAGACGCTGCCACGCCGGCAAAAAAGTGGATTTGCCTACTAGTTTCGTCACTCGCTCGAGTAAGAGGTCACGCACAGCTTCGTTTGCGATCTCCTCTTCGTCGCGTTCATCCTTGGGCTCTTCTG